AATTTAAAATTTAGAATCGATATTAAACAACTGCGCAGTGTTTTTATACGATATCTATTTTTGCCACTTAATTTCGAACCTGGCGCGTTAAAATCAAAGAAAATTTGGGGGAATCACTAGAAAACTTACTTTTCTATCCTGGGTCAACTAAATATAGTAATCAATAGTCGAAATTTAGAATCTAGAATCGATATTAGATTACTGCGCAGTATTTTTATACGATTTATACTCGCGCCGCTTTATTTCGCACCTGACATGTAAAAATCGAAGAAAATTTTGGAGCATCACGAGAAAAACGCCTTTTCCTCGATATTTTAACTAAATATCACAATTCACAGTCGAAATCGAAAACCTACAATTAATTTTATATAACTACGCAGTATGTTTATATAATTTTCACACCCGCCACCTTATTTCGCACCTGACACGTAAAAATCAAAGAAAATTTGGGAGAATCACGAGAAAACCGCCTTTTCCTTGATATTCGAACTAAATATCACAATTCACAGTCGAAATCGAAAACCTACAATTGATTTTATGCAACTGCGCAGTATATTTATAAAATTTTCACTCCTGCCACTTTATTTCGCACCTGACACGTAAAAATCAGAGAAAATTTAGGAGAATCACGAGAAAACAGCTTGTTCCATGATATTCTAACTAAATATCACAATTCACAATCGAAATCGAAAAGCTATAATTGATTTTATGTAACTACGCAGTACGTTTATAAAATTTTCACCACCGCCTCCTTATTTCGTACCTGACACGTAAAAATCAAAGAAAATTTGGGAAAATCACGAGAAAACCGCCTTTTCCTCGATATTTTAACTAAATATCGCAATTCGCGGTCGAAATCGAAAACCTACAATTGATTTTATGTAACTACGCAGTATGTAGTATAAAATTGTCACTCCCGCCACCTTATTTCGCCCCTGGAACATTAAAATCGAAGGAAGTTTGTGGAAACTATCAGAAAACTGCCTTTTCTGTCCTATGACAACGAAATATAACAATCAGTAATAGAAATTCAGAATCTAGAATCGATATTAAACAATTGCGCATTATTTTTATAAAATTTTCATTCGCGCCACTTTATTTCGCACCTGGCACGTTAAAATCGAAGAAAATGCGGAAGAACCACCAGAAAACTTCCTATTCTAAGCTATATTGACTAAATATCGCTATTGGCAGTCGAAATCTAGAATTTCGACAATTTCGACAATTTCTAGGTAACTACGCAATATTATTTTATTAATGCAAAATGATATAATCTTTATACGCACTATGCACTATATGCACTGTGTAAAATCACATTGTATCACACGTGGTATATCACAGCCGTAAAAATATTAACTGCTAGGTACCAGAATCCCGGTAAATCCTTTCAATTTCGTCAACTTGTACTCTGGCCCGTTTGTAAATATTTCGATAATGTTACAAACGTAACCTATAATTGCAATATTATGCAGTAATAACCGATACTGCCCATTATTGTCCTTAAATATATATTTCCTTTGACGCAGCAATGAGAACATCGATCACTGATAACACGACTTCGCGAAAAGTTCGGTGCAGCCATTGCAATTTTCACTTTCTCGCGGGAAAATATTCCACCATTATCACGATAGATACGATGCGCGAGCGACTAGAAATTGGCTGCGCGGCTGGGCACGCCACACGGTTGTCGCGGGAAGATACGTTATATTTCAAACACTCGTATTCTAAACAATCCACGTAAAGTATCAAACGATGCTTCTTACATTTATTAATAATTAAAAAGCAAATACAAATACGTTTCTGTTACGAAAATAACAAATCAGAAAGTGCCTAATCTTCACGACAAAACGTTATTAATTAATAAAATAAAAATTAATATAAATTAACTAATACATAAATATTCCTAGCTTCTAGTATATTTTTCAATTCAATTATTTTACATTATATTTGTATATTATATACAGTATAAGTATTTTAATTATAAACAATGCTCCAAATCACGTCAGATCAAATAATAAAGAAAACCAGAAAATAGTATAATAAAAATGATGATGATGATATTGATGATACGAATGAAGTTGGAGCTTCATCGAATTTCTCATCTGAATAATTCATTATTTAATTATTTATTATAATTTATTCTTAATTATTTTGTTCTAAAGGAAGGTCCAAAGAAAACGAGAAAGAAAATAAAAGAATGGACAATCATTTAGATAGCTCTTATCAGGATTAAACTTTGTACTCTATTAGACTCAAAAATTTTCTACTTTGTATCCACGCTTTATTCTCTTCTTTACAAATAATATTTTCAAACTTCGCGCGACTTTGACTTCCCATCCGTGCATTTCGCGTACATCTCGTAAACTTCTGCATAAATGCGAAACCATATCGGAAAGAGATCGAACGAAGGCGGAATTAAATGGATCCGAGGATCTCTGCGCAAAGGTTTCAACGCGAAACGATAATCGGTTCTTTTCGACGAGAGGCGAAATTAAATTTCGTCGGCGGCGCCAGAACTCCAATTAGCTCGAGTGTTCCGTCAATCGTATAGCCAGAACTTTCCATTGATCCTATTGTTCCCGACGTGAAATTGCATTAATAGTTTAAAGTACGTGCACCACAAAGCCCTAAGACCTTCGCAACAATTGTAATCGGATATGGGACTTAACAACAACGGTGGTAACCTTTATGGAACAAGTATCCCGCGAGTTTCCATGGGGTTATTGGCACCAAGGCGTTACCCAGCAGCGTTTAACTGACGTCAAAGTTTCCTTTCAGCCGGCACTGTTGCGGCAAATCGAATCCTCCCAGACCGAATTACTTGTTCGTTATTCGTTTGCAAGATGTGCTCGCTGAACTAGAAACGATCACTAGGGACTTATGTAAGTGGAATTGTTAATGAGGCGATCGGCATGCACGGGGATACTACTTCATGAGTATACCAAGTGGATGGTGCGTATAGAAAATGTGGAAATAGTCGAGAGAAAAATATAAAAATGGAAATTTATTCCATTATAATTTAATATTCTGATTAGAGAATATTTGTTAAATACTAGAGCTACTGAGTGAAATCGGTGCTTAAGGAATTGTTAAAGAGGCGATTCAAATGCACGAGGAACGTTCCATGGATTCTCCATGAGTATACCAAGTGGATAGTGTGTTTAGAAAATGCGGAAATAGTCGAGAAAAATATAAAAATGGAAATTTATTCCATTATAATTTAATATTCTGATTAGAGAATATTTGTTAAATACTATAACTACTGACTGAAATGGGTGCTTAAGGAATTGTTAAAGAGGCGATTCAAATGCACGAGGAACGTTCCAAGGATTCTCCATGAGTATATCAAGTTGATGGTGTGTATAGAAAACGTGGAAATAGTCGAGAGAAAAATATAAAAATGGAAATTTACTCCATTATAATATAATATTTTGATTAAAGAATATTTGTTAAATACTAGAGCTACTGAGTAAAATGAGTGCTTAATTTTTGAGGTTTCTTGTTATGACGCCTCCAAATCGTAAATGGCAGACGGTTAAAAAATTTGCGAAAATTATATCGACAGAACATTTTCAACAAACGTGAAAAATAATGGAAACCATTTATTTTAAGTGCCTCGATGGTTCCAGTGCTAATTAAGACTTTTTTCCTGCGCTTTTTACGCAATGTAATCTCAGACATTTTCATTTTATCTACGAATTCGTTAAAATCCGCAAAAATACGCGTTACTTCGCGAAACGGATGCCACTATTTGTTAATTTCGCCTAGGAGTTTGCGTAACTCGCTGATAATTACCAAAACTAATTACACGTTGCCGTTATCACGGAGGCACGTCGAGGAGTGGGTTTAGTTATCGGTCGGACGAGCGTGGATGATAATGGAGTGCGTGTGCCTAAGTAGAAAATTACGCTAATTTGGTAACGATAACGCTAATGAAAATGACATTAATTTGGAACGATAGCAAACTGAGAAGTTGTATCGCGATAAGACGTTCGGCCATTAATTTCGAAATAGATAGGATAAATGTCTATTAACGATCACGCGACCTAACCTAACCTAACCTGCAAATAATTCATTCGACAATCCTTCCAATTTACATCGCTATTCGTATCGCGCGTATTTACGTGACAGAGAAGCACGTGACCAAATGCGTCAATAAAAATACCCAAATAGTGACTAAAATTTCGTCCAGCTTCTTTTTATAACTCGAAGTAATTATATAATAACACGCGATGAATCATGGCATGTTGCACAGCCTAAAAACAAGTCGAAGATAACATAACTGTTTATCACGCGCAGTTTCCTCTCGCAGAAAAATATCTGGGAAATTCTACGACTGACGATTTATGTAATTGTTTCTGCTACATATGTATCTACCACACTTGTTTTCGCGTTTAATACAATGTATGCGCCTGCTTATCATTAGAAGCATAGCACATATTGACATAGTGCTATGTACAGAAAGAGTTACAGCTACTGTTAGCCGCAGTAGCTTAGGAAAGTCAACTGCGCGTACACGACCGATTTTCAAAACAATTTTTCCTGGGAAACCGATTTCCTCGTTGCAAAATATTTGTCCATCCCATTTTAACCGTAAAGTGCCCTTTGCACCTGTGCAAAATATTTTTTAAATAATTCCCCAAATTAAATTTACCCGATACCGAATAAGAGGAGATTGAAATCGGTTAATGGATAAAGCTTTCACCATCAGGAAGAAACGCCGATTTCGCACTTTTTCCTCCTGAATGACGCCTCGTTCATCGAACTACTCGGTCATTTTCAGCGAAACACAATACGTTGAAACGTAAGCGAGCAAACAGCTCTAACCGTTGGACGCGTACAACCCACGAATCGGAAAGCGTTTTCGCTTAAAACGTGAAACGAGGAACGAACGAACGGCCAGCACGTCCGAGATTGCGCTTTTCATTAGCGACACTCGTCATCCTCCATGCGTTTCTCGAACCGCGAATTAACAGCTTCTTTGTTGCGGAACAAACAGATCAGTGTGTCACGGTGCGTGTCTCAGCGTATATAAGAGAGGATCAGGGTGCCTTTAGTCAGACCAAAAACCCGCTGCGATTTCGACTCAGTCAGTACCGGAAGCATGGAGAAGGGTGTGCTGTTCCTCTGCATCGTCTGTGTCTCGTTTGCGCTGATCAGTGCCAAACCGATTCCTCTGCCGGAGAATTGTAAGTTTTCGTCTAAGTGACGGATGAAATATTGTGATACGGTCGAAGTCGTGGTCAGTGATTGATGGTTTAACGTCACGAATCGAATGTGCAGATGACGAGGAATTACTCGCACCCAAGGACACCTTGCACTATCCGTACCTCTTCTGGCTAGGGCGACCATTTTACGCGCAGGACGACGACGGAGATAATACGTATTATCAGCCCGATCGAAGATCGTCTACTATATCGTACGCTAATGTCGGGTAAGAATCAAGATTTATAGTTAGTTAAAGAGGTCAGGCGATTTCTTACCGCTTGAGTGACAGATATCCAATTGGAAGTCAACAAATGTTCAAGAATAGAATTTCTTGCGGGAAATGTAATTGGACAGTGTCATCTGAACTCTGTCTTCCTTCATCATTTAACACTGTCTTCCAATGCTATGTGAAAAGCTGTTCAAAATTCAGTTCCATTTTGGGATTTTCTTAATCAATATTGCATCTGGATTGATCTGCTTTTATTAAATTTAATCACTTGCACTCCGGGAAATTTTTAATATTATCTACCAGCTACTCCGTGTCATTTTACCTACCATATTTAGCAGTGAAATAGCATTTTATTTTCATCAGTTCTTCTGCCAAAGGTATACTGGTATAATATCAATCAGGAAACGTATAGCAACCCTGTACTTGGGAAATTTTTGTCTGACAATATTTGATATAAATCCAGCGGAATTACAATGTCGCCATAATGGTAACAACCGAATGCAAATTAATTATTAATTACGTTACAAGGGACTATATTGTATACGTGTATCGAAACTGAAAAGAACAGAATGTAGGATCCAAATTGACATAAGGTAGTAGAGACTTAAATATGACTATAATGGTGTTAGCTCTATTCCTTGTCAATGTTTGACAGTTGTTAGGGGTAGACCCAGCAATTTTATGCGACGTAGCATGCACATGAACTGCACCCCTAAGAATCATAGCTAATTAGGAAAACAAATTTGGGAATTTGTAATTCCCCGTAGTATTTATATACCGGAATATTTATGGCAATTATCGGTTCTTAATAATCGGGTTTGAACACGAAATTGTCATCGATTATTACCCGGTTTCCCATAAGTAAAACAAATTACAGTTATGGAGGGTTAATTGAGTTTATCCAGTGCGCTGTTGCGTGGAATTGCTAATTCGGTTTCTTCAGCGGGAACGTATGCAATATGGATCGGGGTATGAAACACGCGTGCACGTATTTAGTTTCAGAGACGAAACAACGAGGTATCGTAACGCAAAATAATTTTCAATTAAAACGTTTCTTGTTGCAGAGCTGGATGGGGTCGCTGAAGAGCTTCCATCGCGCTTCTTCCATCGCGGCCGGCGTACGCATCGTAAATTTATATTAATTCTCGCGTTAAGCGAATATCATACTTCGTAAATTACCCGGCTATCATCGACGATGGCGATGCTGATGTCGCGAATTAACGATAAGCTACTAATATGCACGAACAGTCTCCCGCAACGGAATTTCGTGCCATCGTTCCGCATTCGACTAATATCCCATCTTCCCATCGCCATTATCGTTCCTCGTGCATCCTTAATCGAGCACCGAACGATTTCGCCACGGAATTCCCATGAATCACCGATTTGCAAATTAAACGGTGAAAACCGATGATAGAGATCTCTGCAAATTCGCGCAGTCCTTGACTGAGAAAGACGCGAAACGATCGGTCACGCCATATGATTTAACACGATTCAAACGATACAGGAATCGCTAACCGGTTGGCAAATATTTATGAATAGGTGTAACGTCAGTAGTAAGGTCGGAGGTTCCACGTATCACGGATAGAGACAAGTTAGATGTACTCGGGTAGGTTCTATTTATTTAGCGACGACTGAGGAAGCAATGAGCAATCCAATCTTAATCCCACCGCTGCCAATTCTGTCGTCGATTTTAAATACGCGATTGCCGATTTCCAGAGATCTTCTACATCGATTCGTCACACGTTTGCAGTTAGAGAAGACTCGAATAAATCTAAGATATTGCATTTATATGGGAGCGACGGTCTGAAAAATTCATGGTCTAATCTGTAATTGGCATCTGTCACATCTGTCACGAATTTTTGTAATCACCTTTGTATTAATTTTGCTAGGTTTCTCAGTGTTTTCATATTAATCTGACTCATCGTTATCTTAAATGTAAATCTGCGTACGATCCTCGTCCTATAGCTTTTTGTACAGTGCATAAATAAATTACTAATATAATTAATACAACAGTGTGTTTGAGTACCATACCCATTACCGTTACTTCCAGATCATCCTAACTGACGTTTGCACAAAAATTCGCAGTCGTGTCTATGACGTTTATTAATCCATAAAAATCCCGACACGAGTCTATACGTCCTCTACATCGTCAACAGCCATCGCGATAAAACGCGACTATGCAGAGGCCGAAGAGATCATAACCGAGTATGTAAAAAGCAGTCTCTAAAGGTACTTTAGACACTTAAGCATCCTTAAAATTCATCTCGAGCAGGAGAGGCGATAAAAAGGTTAAGACCCATCAGAGGGTCTACGAGTCCGAGTGGAGCGTGGTAGCGAAATTCGTCTCGATAATTTCAGAGCGCCCGGAGATCCTGTACGCTGGCCCGATGTATCGTTTCTATGGGCCACGGGGCAGGCCGCATAAAAGAACCACGGCTATTATGGGGACCGTATTCCGGACTCTTTGCCCAGTTCGCCGGATCATCCGTTCGAGGCTCGTTCCGTGCTTCGGAGGAATCCGAACCGAGCAGCTCGGAGTTATGGCGACAGGTTTTCGCAGCTGGATCCAGACTGTAACAGGAAGCCTCTGGGAATTTCTTCGGGGACTCGATGATTCCGACGCTGGGGAGCATCGTAAAGTGACACTCGATAAAGGGGACTGAAATTCTTCGAATTCGAGGAAAAAGAATCGTTTCTCTCGAATATGAGAGTGATACCTATTTGAATATTAGATTTTTGACAGTGGTTGGCGATGGTGATAGTATACTCACGATTGGATGATTTTTAGCGAAGGATGAATGATAGTTATAGTATACCCAAAGTATGTACTTGGTAATGGTAACAAAGAATCGTTTGTCTCGGAGATGAGAGTGATACCTATTCGAATATTAGATATTTGACAGAGGTTAGCGATGACAATAGTATACTCACGATTGGATGATTTTTAGCGAAGGATGAATGGTAGCTATAGTATACCTAGAGGATGTACTTGGTAATAGTAACAAAGAATCGTTCGCCTCGGAGATGAAAGCGATACCTATTCAAATATTAGATTTTTGACAGTGGTTAGCGATAGCGATAGTATATTTACGATTGGATGATATTTAGCGAAGAATGAATAGTTGCTATAGTATACCCAGAGTATGTACTTGGTAATGGTAACAAAGAATCGTTTGTCTCGGAGACGAAAGTGATACCTATTCGAATATTAGATATTTGACAGAGGTTAGCGATGACAATAGTATACTCACGATTGGATGATTTTTATCGAAGGATGAATGGTAGCTATAGTACATCTAGAGAATGTACTTGTTAATGGAATCACTAATGAGTTACTCGCAGTGCTGTAATAACGTAACAGGATATTTGTGGGAGTTCAATACAAACTATAGCACCGTTCATGAACAGATTTGGCAGAATTCTGGATTTCATTGCGGGTAAACGATTACGTGCTATTATTATCGATGCTCACGGCGTATTCGCGGATTCGCTATTAGTAAATTAATTAGCGGGTGATCAATGTCTCGATAGAAAATTTTTCCTCGGTATGTACCTCGCAGTATTTTCCGAACTGCTCTCTGTATTCGGGTATTTTAGCATCGTGAGTGACGCAGCGGCGTAATAACTGTCTATAAATTTCCAATACCACGAACCGAGTTTCGCACACTTTACTTTTAATCTGCACACGTGTTACTCTTGGCAATACCGAACACGGAGTGAAGTTGAGCTCTCGGTATGCGTGACTCATCACATGAAAAATATACACGCATTGCTTCCTAATACTGGGAAATGTGTCGCGATTATGCTAATGAGCAATGATCAATTGCTCGATGAGATAAAACACCTACGATGTCTTACAAATTTTATAACATCTTCTAAAATTATAATCAGTGTACCTATTCTCTCATACGTGAGAATTATTCGTAAAGAAATTCAAAAATTTTCCCAAATTTTTCTTTCTTTCTCCAAAGAAAAATTTATACTTCCATGGCGAAAGTCAGGGCGGATGGAAAAATTCGCGGGGTGGAACGGGTTAATGAAACCGAGTAGCCCTTTTAATCGGTCGCGCAGTAATTTCCAAGGGGGAAATCTTAACGAGTCTTTTGTCTGGCAGGTAGCGAAGACACCGGGTCGGAAAAGGAAAAGGAAAAGCAGCGGACTCCCTCGGGACTCGTAGCTCGACGCCAGGTGAACCAGACCCGGGTCTCGGAGGTCCCGCAACTCGTCGACTCGGTAACGCACGCTCAAACGGCGGCTTCTCGTGAATATTTAACAGGCTGCTAAGAGGATGAGCTTTCTTCAAGAGACTCGTCCATGGACGTGGAAACGGGACGCCGTGGAAAAACGAACGGCGCGGCAGCTTTTCCCTTTTAATACCTCGCCGGTCCACGACGACGCTGCGAAATTATAACTCTACAAGCGTGACCAGTTTTTCTCTCCCCCTCCTTGCTTTTTATCTCTCTCCTCCTCCTCCTCCTAGTTCCTCGACTTCTTTTCCTCCTGGCGTCGAGAGTGTCACACTTTTCACCGTGTGCCGCACTCTCGTTCTCGTTTCGACGGAAACAACGCGCCCCGGCACCCCGCGCGAGCCGCCCCTGCGTCGATTCTTTTGTCACCATATCGCCAACCCGATAGGAGCAAACGAAAATATTTCGTTCTTTAAATTACACGAACCGTGGCCTTTCTTGCGAATATCGTCGTTCGCGCGATTCCGCCACTGTTTTATTTGCATTTTTCGATTAAACGCGCGAGGACGGATCAAGTATAATTTACGCGTCTCGCAACGACCCGGAATTTCCAGCGGACGTGTTTCGTCGGTGAAAAAGAAATCGAAGAGTTTGTTCGATTTTTTCGAGCACTCGGTATATTCGCACGGTTATTCTAGATACGCGAGATTATTTATGGGAACGCGCGTTATTCAAATTTGCGCAAGAATTATTTTATTGACACTGCGGTTGAATGCAAGTTTAAATAATTTTTCCTCGATCTTTTGTGCTCGGGTTGTTTGCCTGTCTTAAATGGTTTTCATTTGTTTGTATATGAATTTTGTAATGGTCCCTTTATTCCCGTCGCGTTCGATTCGATGTTTAAATAACCGATTTTATTAGATTGGTTAATAAACATCGTCGGATTTTTTAAATAAACGATACTTTTCTTTTAAAGTACTATTATGTTTTATTATATTTAAAGTATATTAAAGTATATATTTATTTTTCTTTTAAAAGTATCGTTCCTGAATGGAATTATTTAGGACAGATAAAAATGATCGATAAATTTTCTGATTTAAAACAAATTGATTGCCAATTTACAAATACCGTAATTATTTTTTGACCAATATTTAATCCGTTGTGCGTGAGTTGCACCGTGTGTCACGTTCGCTTAATTAAATATGCAAGAGATGTTTGTATTTGTTGCACTTTGTAGTTGCTCGGCAAACAACCGCCGTTTTCATAAAAGCGTTGCATCTCTGCTCTCGTTTCCAGCGTTTTGCTGAAATCGCTCATAATGCACGTTGTAACGGGGAAAAGGAATTAAAAAAATTGAAAGTTGGGAAGAAAGAAAAACGGGGGGCCGGGTGAAAATTAATAATAGCAGACCCGGTTGCGGAGAGGCCATTTTCGCGTCGTTTTAATGCTACCTCATATTTTATACTCTTCCGGACGAGGGCAGACAATTTCTCAAATTCACGTTTCGGTTTGCACTTCGAGGAAACGTCTGTTTTTGTTTCCCACCGTTTCTCTGTTCCCTGTTTTAACTACCCCGAACGAAACACCCTGCTTTGTAATTCGTAATAAGAACTGTACACAGTTCACCTAACCGCGCAACTTTTCCCCAGAAATTCTCTTCTCCGTTTATTATACTATTCCATAAACGAGTGAAAGCGTGGAAACGCGTGAAAAATAATCATTCGAGGCTTTCAGGCAGGATGAATTTAATTTCGTTATTTGAATAACGCGTTTCAACCCTCTGGTATCCCTAAAGTACGATTTTTTAAAGAATCTTGATGAGATCCTGGATCTCGAATTTTAGAAAAATATTTTGGAAACCTCGTGATTGGTATAGACGTTATTTGAACAGAAACGAAGATAAAGATGAAGAGAACAGTGGCAAGTAAGGACGCTATGATTGATAAGTTCACAGGTGATCTCGAGGTCAACGTCAAACATCGTCAAACCAACGCGATTAAGCAATGTAAATTTGCTCAAAAACTGAGATGTTGTTACCCGATACTAATGAATATTCATCGTCGATGAAACACGAGATATCTCGTGATTCTCCTGTAAGCAATATCGTACGAATCAACGTCGTGATTCGTTGGTAACGCGTTAACCATTGGGCAAACAAAAATCTAGAGACATTGTTCTTTCTCCACCTGCAAACATTTTTGTTTCAATGTTTATTAACTATTTCGATCTCTCTTTGGTAACTCAAAAGTGAAATCTCGAATTTGCTTTTTACCTAAAAAGGAGTAAGAACGAAGGTATAAGATCGTACCTGTGACATAAGACCCGTGTACCAAGACTTTACATCAAAAATTTGTATTTCAAATTTGTACAATTTTATTTCCTTCTTTTTAAAATAATAATGCATTTTAATCGTTAGAGGAAAGATCACAAAAGACTCCATATTTTCTAAATAATAATTTCACACTGCACAGGAATA